AAAAAATAATAGAAAATTTAATTATTTGAAGTAAATCATTATTATTAAAAAAAAATATTGATTATATAATAAAATTATGATATATAATAAAATATTGATTTTAATAAAATATATATTTAATGATAAATATATCAAATAATATAGAAATATCATTAAAAATTATACAAAATATTCAATATTTTACATTTTTATTTTATATTTTTAGTAATTTTGAAATCATCGTAATATAAATTATAAATAATATTAGTTTATTATTTATTGTTCAAAAGAATTTTGTATAAATTCAATAATTTTTTTTATTTTGAAGTTAGTAAAACTATATTTAATTTATAAAATAAACTAAAAGTATGTTCTTTCTTTGAAGTATTATTTCTAAAAATAGATTTTCTTTTATAAATTTTTCAATTTTATTATTTAAATATATGATTTATCAGATTCTTCAAAAACAAACTATTTACTTTCATAAACTTATTTGTTAAAGATAATAACATAAATAATTTTAACATTTAAATTTTAACCTAAATTTAAAAAAATTTTTATATTGTTTATAGTATCATTACTTTTTTATATTTTTTATATAATGTTGATATTGTTTATATTTATTAAAAAATATAATAAAATTAAAGTATTTATTGTATATTTTACAATACTATGAAATGAATATTTTAAATTATTTTTTTTAATTTTTAAATTAATAAGGAACATTTACGTTTTAACGATAATTTTTTCTTGTGTATTAAAGTCCATTCATGATAGTTTTAAAAATATTCCAAATATAATTATTGATTAAAACAAATAATTCAGTTACAATATTAATTTGGTTATGAAGCTAAAGCGAATGATTCGTTTTTTAAGAAATGTAACCATATCGCTAGCATTGCCTTAAGATTTGTCAGTGATACGGCATAAAACTGAGGATTCGAGGGGAAAACATATATTCAGTACTCTATACTGATTCCAAACGTGGCAACAGTGCGTCCGTATATACCATGAGTATACATCTTTCATGCGAGAGGCCACGGCATTGTAAAATTGCTGATTGGCTTCGAGGTCATCACGCTATCGACCTCCATTTTGTATTGGCTTTTTTTTCAACATGGATTTGTCGAAACTAGCCATCGTGGTTATTGCTCCATCGATATTCTTGTCTCGATACATAACGACATTAGTAGAGAACGAATGTTCACGTTCCCTTTTTTTTTATAGTGTAATCGTCGCTTTGATTTCTCTTTACTTAAAAAAGTCACGAAAAAATTTTATAAAACTGAATGATTTATATGATTTTTATACCAGATATCATAACAATATACATACTTTTTTTTAAAAAAAAATATATCTTTTATTTCAAAATATTTTACTTTTAATACTTATAATACTTTTAATAGTTAAATAAATATGGATAATTAATTGGATTAATTACTTTATCTCATACAATATTTCAATTAACTTTTTTTACAGTTTTAAATTTTTCTTTGAAATTGAATGTAAACTATTGACAATATGTTTATATTTATATTGTAAAAATTATTGAAGATTTGAATTTTAATTAATAATCGGATATGATTTATTTGATATTTAATTGCTCTATATATTTTTGCAGAAGAAAATATTCATTGAATTTTTATTAATAATAAAAAAATATTTCCAGTACATACATATTTCTTTCATAGAGAATAGAATAAAGTTTTATTTTACATAGTAAGGACTTATTATTATATAATTATTATTATTTAATTGAATTTTGATATTACTAAAATGTAAAATATTTTTAATTGTTTATATTTAAATTATGTTTATAAATAAATAAAATTTATTAAACAAATATTAGAGTTTTATAATTTATTTTATTCATTATGTTTTTATTCGTTTTTTTAATTCAATATTAATTCTTATTTTTATTTTTTAGTTCTTGCTTATTTTTTTTTTCAATTCTATCTAATATTAAATATCTAATATTAAAGATATGAGAAATTACAATGTATTTATATTTTATGCAATATAATAAAGCATATATAATAATGATTTATTTTCACTGTTTCACTTTTAATATAATCTTTGCACATGCAATAACATAATTGTAATGATTTCCATTCTTTTATTCTTTTATTTTTAGGTTTTTATATAAAAAATTTGTTGTTGAGTAAGTTTCTTTATATGTAATAGTAGCCTTCGAAATAATATAATTATGTATTAAATATATTACTTAAAAGTCATGTACTGTTTTATTGATAAAATTTCTTTAAAAAGCACGTTTTAAAAAGTTATAATAAATATATGACAAATGAAGAATTTTATTCAGTTTTTTCTGTAAATATTTGAAAAAGTTGAAAAATTTATATTAGCTTACTTGTTCATTAAAATTTATTTTCGTTAAAATCTCACTCTCGTTTAAATTAACTTGTATATAGTGATGAGCACTAGGAAGTCTGGATGCTTTATACGTTTCTTACGCAGCTAAAATTCTAATCACTTCCTGCAAAATATTGTTCTATATACATTATTCTTAACAGCAATAAAAAAAATATATATATATAAAATGTACTAAAATAATCATTATATATATAATGATTAAAAAAAAAACTAATTAATAACAAATTCATTAGATGAAAGAATATCTTTATGACTATATTATTAAATTTTTATAACCAATTAAAATTTTTAATGATTATATATTCGAAAATATCAAGAATATTAATTATATAATATTATATAAAGTAAAAATATGATATTCATATTAATCTATAAATATACAAATTAAAAATNTTTAATTATTTAATTTAATTTTAGTTGTTGAAACATTATGAATTTATTTAAAGCAATTGGATATTTATTTTTTTTATTTGAAAAATCAAACTCTTTAAATTTGAGTTTAAAATTTGAAATTGTTTTTGAAATA